AAAAAAAAAAAAAAAAAAAAAATAAAAGCCACAGCTGTGCCCTTCATATGAAGTTGCTTGGAGGCGGCAGGGGAGAAGAGGGCCTTGGTGGCCCCCAGGCCAGCAAGGCCACTAACAGGGTTCCTGTGGACCCATATAGGAGTGAGGGGCCACAGACAACTGAAACAAGGAGCCACCCAAAGGCCAGTGAGTCATTGCAAAGGACCAGCACATGGCCCATGCCATGGGAAGTGTCTGGAGTGTAGGCAATGGGGGAGACAAACCCAACAGGGGAACACTGGAGCACAGCATAGACAGCTGATCTACCCTCCAAAAGCACAGGACCACTCAGTAGAGACTGGTTAGGAGTACAGATCTGCAGGGGGGGTACAGTTTGATGAAAAGACTCAAGCCCAGACCAGAGTTTCCACACAATCCAGGTGTACCAGACCTCACAAGACCCAGAAGTGCTTACAAAGTCAATAATTAAAACCTGCGCTACACAAAAAGCCTTCCCCAGAGGATTGCAGCAAAGCGGCAATTTAGTGCAACCTCAGGGCTCAGGTGCTGGTCCCCACAGGAAGTCCCCCATTTTAGAAGTAAGCAAAGAACAAGAAATTAGTTCCAGTGCAGAGTTCAAGTGGTAGGAATGGCGAATAATCCAACACAGAACTGAAAAAAAAAAACAAAAAACCCACAGATCAGAGACAAACTTCCGATATTAACCAATAAAGGTCTAACACCACCAAAGAACACCTATAAAACCTAGAAGGGGGCCGGCCCGGTGGCGCAGTGCTACAGTGTGCCGCTTGGGAGTACGGTGGCGCTCCCACCGAGGGTTCGGATCCCACATACAGACCAGCCGCTCACTGGCTGAGTGAGGTGCGGGCGCAACACCGAGGGTTGCGATCCTGTTGCTAGTCCCGGTCCGGTATGGGCGCGACACTGAGGGTTGAGATCCGTTGCTGGTCACGAAAAAAGACAAAAAGGAAAAAAAAAAAAAAAAAACCTAGAAGGACTGGAAGCCCCCTGGGCTCCGAAGAAGGGGTTAGGGGAGGGCCGACAGCTTCAGCCACACACCCCCAACATCTGCATCCAGCCCAGCAACGACTACCAAGAAGCCACCATAAGTGCTCCAGGGTCCCAAGCTGTGTTGGGGGGTGGCTGAGGGCCTCAGCCACACTCTCCTGACGTCTGCATCCAGCCCAGCGATGACCATCAGGCTACTGCTGGAAGCATCCTGGGCTACTGAACTGGGGTTGGGGATGCTGAGGGCCTTAGCCCTCCCACCCTGACGTCCGCGTCCAGTCCAGCCATGACTGAGCTGCCACCAGAAGCCCTCCGGACTCCTCTGCCAATATGAGGGATGCCATGAGGGGGGTGCCATGGGCCTCAACCACACTCCCCTCCCTCCTTCCTCGTCCTCCCACCCTATCCCTCTCCCCCTACCCCTCCTCTTCCTCTATTCCTACTGCTCTACAACATCTTAGAATTTGAAAAAAAAAATCATAATAAATAAATAAAGTTTGTTCTCTGTAGAGTGCTGCTCTTAAATAGAGTAGCCATTAGGCATGTGGGGCTATTTAAATTCAAATTTCAATTAATAAAATAAAATTTTTAAAAAATTCTCAGATATACAAAGACAGAGAAAATGCTAGCAGACATATCTTATGAAAAATGCTAAAGGCAGTTCTTCAGGCTGAAAGGAAATAACACTAGATGATAACCTAAGTTCACAAGAATAGATAACAAATATGTGGATAAACATGACTCCACAGACATTTTTTCTTATCTTTTAAAAATGACATGAGATTATATACTGCATTTTTCAGTGTATAACAAACATACATGGTAATATACATTACATAAAAGTAGTACATATTACATAAAAGATAAAGAAAGGGAGAAGAAAAAGAGATATATTAGAGCAAAATTTCTGTATTTTACTAGAATTAAGTTAAATTATTCTGAAATAGACTATGATAAATGAAGGTCCATATTGTAATCCTTAGAGCACCAGATAACTTGAAGTATAAAAAAAAAACCAGGGCCGGCCTGGTGGCGCACTGGAGAGTGCGCCGCTTGGGAGTGTGGTGGTGCTCCCGCCGAGGGTTCAGATCCCATGTGGTGACCGGTTCCCGCTCACTGGCTGAGCGTGGCGCGGGTGCAACACCAAGGGTTGCGATCCTGTTGCCGGTCCCCGGTATGGGCGCAACACCGAAGGTTGCGATCCCATACCGGTCAGTAAAAAAGACAAAAAGGAAAAAAAAAAAAAAACCCAGAAGAAATGAGATGGCACACTAAAAATAATTCAGCACACACAAAAAAAGCAGTAAAGGAGGAACAGAAACAAAAAGGTATGATACAAAAAGAAAACAAACAGCAAAATAGCATATGTAAATTTAAACACATCAATAATGACGTTAAATGGGAACAGACTAAACACCACACTCAAAAGGCAAAGATTGTTAGAATGGATAAAAAAACCTAGACCCAACATGCTGCCTACTACAAACACACCTTAGATTAAAAGACACAAATAGGTTGAAAGTAAAAGTATTGAAAAAGATATACGGTGTAAAGTAACCATAGGGAGCTGAGTGGCTATATAAATAAATATCAGAGAATAAAGGACTTTAAGATAAGAAATATTACTAGAGACAGAGATGTTCTGTGATGATAAAAAGGTCAATATATCAGGAATATATAGCAATTATAAATGTACATAAACTCTTTTTGTCCATTCAGTCTGCTAAAACAAAAATATAAACTGGATAGCTTAGGAACAACAGAAATTTGTTTCTCACAATTTTAGAGGCTGGGAAGTCCAAGATTAGGGTGCCAGCAAATTTGGTGCCTAGTGAGGGTTCATTCTCTGCACCTTCTTGCAGTGTCCTCCCATGGTGGAATGGCAAACAAGCTCCCTTGGGCCTCTTTTGTAAGGGCACTAATCCCATTCATAAGGGGTCTACCATCATGACCTAATTACCTCCCAAAAGCCCCACCTCCTAACACTATCAACCTTGGGGGGTTATTATTTTAACATGAATTTTGTGGGGAGAGAAACATTTATACCATAGCATAAATGTAACAAACCTCCCAAAATACATGAAGCAAAAACTATGAGTCAGACTTGAGGTAAGAAGACTCCACATGAGCACCTAAAGTCCCAGCTTTTACTGGGTGACCACAGTGGTGTTTTGGATCTCCAAAAATTAGCATGGATTCAGATCCCTATCTAGCAATCTCTCAAAGGTTTGGGCATTTCCCTTTCTCCAATGCACAGTCACTCTACTGAAAGCAACAGGTCCCTTTGGGAAAGTCTTTGAGGAATATTTATGATAGGTACTCGCAAAGCTAAGGGTCCTTCCCTAAGGAGACCAGTCTCCCCTTCGATCAAGGGACTCCGGATTTGTAAATTGACTTATGTCTGGAAACTGGGTGAAAAACTTGGGTGCTCCAACATAAGTGACTCAAGTCAGTTTTTAGTTATAAGATTTAGTGTTTTTTCAGTTACATAAACCAAGCAATACACTAGTAGGCTGCCCATCTATTTCATTCCTAGGAACACCATGATCATATTCTGATTACTAAAACATCACTGCTGTCCTTGTCTTTGGCAGTTAAGTGCTGCCACTTGACTTCAGCTACTCTGGGATCCCATTAGCCCCACTGAGATCAGGAGCCCATCTAAATGGCAGCATCCCACATGATCATATCTAGCCTACAAAGGAAAGCAACCAAAGAACATTTTAAGGATGCAGGTGCTCTTCTCACTAACTCATTCCTCAATACCTTACTGAAGGAAGTGTCTTCTGGTCCTTTTTCTGAAACAGGTGAGATTGGGGGGTACAAGACACACATGATAAACCCACTTCAAAATTCCTGTTTTCCTAAGTCTTTGGATTCCCTCCTCCACATGATGCTGGTGTTATGGACTGAACTGTGTCTTCCCCCACCCCCAAATTCCTATGTTGAAGCCCTAACTCCCATAACTCCTAATATAACTAACTCTATTTGGAAAGAGAGCCTTTAAAGAAGTAACTAAGGTTAAATGAGGTCTTAAGGGTGGGGCCCTGATCCAATATGCCTGGTGTCCTTATAAGGAGAGGAAGAGACAACAGGGATGTGTGTACACAGAGAAAAGGCTATGTGAAGACAGTGGGAAGGTGGCTGTCTGCAAGCTAAGGAGAGAGGCCTTGGGAAAAACCAATCATGCTGGCAGCTTGATCTTCAACTTGCAGCCTGCAGAACTGTGAACATTCATTTTTGTGTGTATGCTATTTCTTCCCGGATCATAGTGTGCACCTGTCATCCTACAGCATGCTGGGATGGGACCCTAGCACTGGTTCTGATAGGTTTTGAGGAAAATAAACATCCCCTTTTAACGCAACAGCCCAGGTGAAGTTATAAAGATTTTAAGCAAAGTAAGGCTAGTATCTTCAGACAGGAGGGCAAGATATATCCATTGGCAAGGAGGCTCAAAGTTACAAGTGTTCAAGATTATCAGTTTCATCTGGGTCCAACCTGACATCTCCATCCACGTTTCAGGATCCCATTCTTCTCCCAATTAATTCCCTAATTTTCACAAGAGATTTCGTGATAAGATGAATTCAGCTGATGTTGTAACTCATCAACAAACAAAATTAAATTTTTTGTTTGATTTTCTTCAATATAACCCTAGAGCTACAAAAAATAGATTCTTCTAGGGCTGTCATGGGAGCTCTCCAGTTCCCTGACTATGACTTAAAGGTCCTAAGCTTGTCATTTTCTTTCTGCAAATGCTCCCATGGACCCAGAAGAATACATCCCCCACCACAGTCCTTGTAGTCATCGTTACTGCCATAGCAGTCAAGTGCAGCAGCTATTTGGCCATCTGGTTATTTGCTTCAGGTGGCACTTCCTCACAAGAAGCCACAGGTGATAGCCTGATTAATTGTGATGCCAGTTCAGGCTAGGGATTACCAGATTCCCAATTCCCACTGGCAAGTAGCTCAGCTCCAATCTTGAGCAGCAGGCAAGACCAAACCACTTTCAAAATCCCTTTTTACAGGTTTGGACCAATCCTAGTATCAATTCTGTATCAGTCAGAGTCCAGTCCAGAGACAGAAACCACACAGTAATTTGAATGAAATTAAATTAAATTTGAATTAAATGGAAAGTTTAATGTAATTGTTAACTGGTAACAGGGGATTACCTACTAACAGGTAAAGCAGACTCTACATAGGGCAGCAATACCAAGCGCAGGAAGGAGCCACTACCCCTGTGTCCGAGGCAGAGAACCTAAGGAGGATCAAATTTGGAGGAAGCACTTATTTTGCCCTAACCCCAAGGCTGAAATCAGACTTGAGTTGGGTGTGGCTGTCACCCACTGGACAGTGGAGAAGTTCACTGAGGTGACACACACCGCAGCAGGCAAGCAAAAAGCCATCCACTGGGGTCCAGTGAAACTCATTAGGATCTCTCCCTCTGGGAAGCTGGCAGAACATGTTGGGAAACTACATACTGGGACACTGCTGAAACTTGCTGTGAAGTTGCCCACTGGGCTGCCTGGGTGACTATCTGGGAAGCTGGCTAGAGTACCAGTGGAACTCACTAAGAAGTTGTCCATGGGATACCACTGAAATTCACAGACTTCAGCACAACTGGGTGTCCTGCAGGTTAGCTGAGCAAAAAGGAGCAAAAAGAGAGTAAAGCATATCAGAACCAGGATGAGAAGGCAAGCCCATTCTCTTCAGTGTCCCTCCAACAGCAGTGTCCCTCTGCTAACAAAAATTAACTTCAAGCCTGCTGGCAAAAGAGAAATGCTGAAAGGGAGCAGCTCTGTTACCACAAGGCAGGGCAATGAAGGATGAATTTGGAGCTGAGAGGCACACCTCTGCATCTCTCTACTGACACTCTTAGTGTCTTGGGTCTAGAAGTAGGATCCTGCCCCTTTGAACCCAGAAGCCCAGCTGAGAGTAGGACACAGTAAGTATTCAATAAATGGTGGTTAGTTTAAAATACAAAGCTACTTATACTATATAGCCTATTATTGTACTAATATAAATACAATTTGGAAGGCAATATAAATGTTTTCAAGTTCATCATTTTAAATATTTATAATCTCTGATAACATTTTCTCCCGGTTAAAACAAAATAAGTTCTGAAAATCTGATTCCAGGCAAGCAGAAAATAATCTGACATTGCATGAACTAACACAAACAGGGAAAATTCAAACCAATGGGACTTGTTCATATTTTACTTTCTGCACTGTATTCTTTGAGGAGTTCAAAATATATCATAGAAGCAAGTTAAATTAATTTCTATAACAATCTTGAGTAATAAATATGAAGAAGACTTAAAAAGACATCCATATAGTATCTGATCCCTTGCTTGAGGGCATAACCCAATTCTAAAACTCTGGACTTTGAACGACTATATTTTTAAAGATGGTCATTTTTCACTCAAGAACACAGATCCCTTTATTTCATTTTGTAAACCCTAATCTAAAAAAAAAAAAAAAAAAAAAACCAAAATATCAAGTGTTTAAAAGGCAAACACATTTTGGTGAAGTTTTTGATTTTTAGCAAGCGAAGTATGTCTTCTAATTAACTACAAAATTAGTGATAGGACAGTATCAATTAACCAAAGCTTTTAAATTTAAATATACTGATCAATCTATACTTCTTTGGACAGAAGGATGCATGTTATGGATATATATAGATATACATATATATAAAGTAATTCATACTTCTCCATTTATTTCTAGAATATATTTCCTTATTATACCCAGGTTATGAGCGAAAATATCAAATAGGTAGGAAACATTTATTTGTCCATGCATGCCTCATTAAAACAATAAGAACTCAACCTCTTTCTGATCCTGTGCTTCTGCAAGGCCACTCAAAAGAAACGACACTACAAAGAGTTTTTTCTATTCTTAAGTACAAATCTGGATAATAAGAGACTAATCAGACAGTTATTCTTTCAACAAGAATTTGTTTGTGGTTCACTGTGTTACTGCTGCAAATAAAGGTCAGATAAACCAATGAAAGATGTTTTTAAGAGTTCCGCTGCTCACCTGAGCTCCTTCCGGAGGTGGGAGACGACAGCCAAGTATAGGCGGGACAGGAGAGCCACATTCTTGACAGAAGCGAGAAAAGGGATCAGATGGGCGGGGGGCAAGGCAGTGGGCACACCTACAACAAAACAGGCGTCTGGTCGGCTATGTTCTGATAGTCCACATTAAAAAGACTGGTAAAAATCTAAAAGTGTTCTAGTGGTTTTCAAAACAAAACACAAGCAGACCGCTCTCAATGGCTAGTACAAGATAGGAGCTGCTTCTCTAGGTCATGTGATTACAAAGTGACCTCACAGCTGGAACCTCTGGAGCTCTTTACCTGAAGGCCAGGTCCATCTCACTTCCTGACAGTGGCAGGAAGTTTATCAGCAGCCTTGGCCCCTTTTTAGTGTGGCTCTGGCTTGTCCTATCATATTGGATTTGGCATGTATGAGGGTAAGCCCTGGTAATTCCAGTAATATTTACATTGCACTTTTCTGACTTCCTACCTGACCACTGAGACCAGTCTGAGCGACTGGTCTGCTTGCTTGGCACTTTGGAGGGTCACTGTGAGTCAAGACCTGCCTTTCTCTTTGCCCATCTTGTTAAGAGTCCTGAGGCCCTGCCCCAGAAATCGCTGACTCCTTTTCTCGGGCAGCTGGATCCCATCTTTCAGTGAAAGGATTCTTGGAATTAGGCTGCCTGTGAATACACTACTTCTGCTATGTTTCCAGGAAGGGCCCCTCATCCTGTCACCTACTGGTCTGAACTGCTCCTCAGCAACTATGATGCTTGGATACCGTGCAGAGGGATTGCCTGGTTGCCTGCACCAGTCTCCACCATGGCATCCCAACAATTACCAGCCATTACAGTTGAGTTCACTTCCCACATTCCTTATCCCATTCAGTCCTTTCTCATTGGTCCACGCTACCAAGATTTCACCATGTCTCCTGTCTGGGCCCACCCCCAGAGCAACAGGTTTCCTCCTTTCTAGCCCCAAAGCTCATGAAGTTTGCTCAACAGTCCATGGAGTAACCTGTCTCATTGCTCTTATCTGAACTGAAAGTATAGAGCTGGGAGTCTGAGAAGGTCTAGGCAACTAGAGTTTTTAGGAAAGAATACTGGAGAAGAGCTACAGAGAGAGCTTAAGAACTTTGAAGAGCGTCACCCTCAAGTCTTCAAACATATACTACTGATCAGTGCATGTAATGGAGGAAACAACTCAAGGTCAAAGGGGATCAGAAGAAACAATCCTCAGGACTCATACAGGGCTTGGAAGTTCATGCTCACACCAGCCAAGGTGGAAAACATTCATATGTAATGCAGCATCATTTAGAATGCTCTTTATATACTCTAAATACTGTAGTTAAAATGCAAAGATTATCAGATATAATTTTTTATTTTTCTTTTCTTTTCTTTTTTTTTTTGTCTTTTTTCGTGTCCGGCAACGGATCGCAACCCTCAGTGTCGCGCCCGTACCGGACCGGGACTGGCAACGGGATCGCAACCCTCGGTGCTGCACCTGCACCTCGCTCAGCCAGTGAGTGGGAACCGGCCTGTATGTGGGATCCGAACCCTCTGCTACAGTGCGCCACCAGGCCGGCCCGATATAATTTTTTAAAAAGCAAGACCTAACTATATGCTGCTTTAAAAAAATCTTAAGTTTAATAGAGACAAAAATAAATTAAAAGTAAAGGGATGTAAAATAAATAAATAAATAAATAATATATATGTATGTATGTGTGTATATATATATATATATACACACACACACACACCTCATACAAACACTAATCAATAGAGAAGACTTAAACAATACTATCAACTAACTTAACCTAATTGAGATTCTCACCCTAGCAGAATGAAAATGAAAACACTACATATCAAAAATTTTGGGCTGGGGCCGGCCCGGTGGCACACTGCTACAGTGCGCCGCTTGGGAGCATGGTGGCGCTCCCGCCAAGGGTTCGGATCCCACATACAGACCGGTTCCCACTCACTGGCTGAGCGAGGTGTGGGAGCAACACCGAGGGTTGCGATCCCATTGCCGGTCCGGTCCAGTGCAGGCGCGACACTGAGGCTTGCGATCCGTTGCCGGACACGAAAAAAGACAAAAAGGAAAAAAAAAAAAAAAGAAACTGAAAATTCTTATTGTGGCAAATATATATATATATATATATATATATATATAAAATATAAATTTATCCTCTTAATAATAAGTGTGCATTACAGTATTGTTAACTATATGCACACTGTTGTAGAAAGATCTCTAGAACTTTTTCATCTTGCATGGCTGAAACTCTGTACCCAATGAACAACAACTCCCTGTTTACCCCTCCCCCCAGCCCCTGGCAACCAACATTCTACTTTTTGTTTCTGAGTTTGATTACTTTAGACACTTCACATATGGGAAATCATGTATATCTGCCTTTTTTGTGAGAAACTGAAATTTTAGAAGCAATACAATTTACAACAGGATAAATCTGACAAAGGATTTGAAAACTATTCAATATTGATGAAATTAAAGAACATGTAAATAAATGGTGAGATATAGCATTTTGATGGATTTTCAGGACCCAATATTGTTAGTACTCCCCTAATTGATATACAAATTAAATGCAATCCCAATCATACCCCACAGACATTTAGCAAAAGTTGACAAGCTGATTTCAAAATTTATTTGAAAATACAAAGGGCCTAGAATAGCCAAAACATTCTTGATAAGAAGAACAAAGCTGAAGAGTTTACAGTACTTGGTTTTAAAACATATTATAAAGCTACAGTAATCAAGCCAGTGTGGTAGTGAATAAACAGAGAAACATCAGTGGAGTAGAATAGAGTCCAGGGTTAGACCCATGCAAATATCATCAGTTGATTTTCAAATATTCCAATACTAATCAACAATGAAAGATGTTTTCAAGAAATTTGATGGAGTTTGGATGTACTGTCCCCTCCAAAACTCATGTGGAAATTTGATCTCCACTGTGGCAGTGTTGGAAACTGATTGAGTCATGGGGGCGGATCCCTCATGAATGGATTAATGCTCTCCCCGGGGGAGGGAGGATTAATGAGTGAGTTCTCACTCTATTAGTTCCCACGAGAGCTCGTTGCTTAAAAAGACCCTGGCACCTTCTCTCTCTCTCTTGCTTTCCTCTCGCTGTGTGATCTGCTTGTACCCGCCGGCTGCCTGCCACTTTCTGCCATGAGTAGAAGCAGTCTGAGGCCCATGCCAGATGCAGCTGTCCCAGAATTGTAAGCCAAATAAACATCTTTTCCTTATAAATTACCCAGTCTCAGGTATTTCTGTTATAGCAACACAAAACGGACTAAAACAGTATGTTTTCCCAATTTTACAACTTTTTCTTAGACTCTAATGATGGTTTAGCCAAATAAACATCTTTTCCTTATAAATTACCCAGTCTCAGGTATTTCTGTTATAGCAACACAAGACAGACTAAAACAAAAATGTACTGGAATAACTGGCTATCCGTAGGCAAAAATATGACCCTCAACCCTTACTTCACACCATATACAAAAGTTAACTAAAAAGAGATCATAGACCTAAACATAAGAGAGATAACTTCTAGAAGAGAACATAGGACAAAATCTTAGTGAGCAGAATACATCTTGGGTTTGGGGAAGATTTCTTAAATATGACAAATTAAGAATGATTTGAAAGAAAAATAAATAGGATTTCATCAAAAATAAAAACTTTAGCTGGTTAGCTCAGTTGGTTAGAGTGCAGTGTTACAACACCAAGGTCACGGGTTCAGATCCCTCCACTGGCCAGCCACCAAAAGAAAACAACCAACGAAACAAACAAAAAAAAAACAAGAATAAAAAACTCCAGCACTTCAAAAATTATCAGTAAGAAAATAAAAAGTCAAAGACTGGAAGAAAATATTTACAGAACATATATCTGACAAAGGAGAACATCTTCTATAAGGAGATACATAACTCAATTTCTTTAAAAGGGCAAAAAGTTTGAACAGACACTTTACCAAAGAAGATGCAACATCATTAGTCACTAGGGAAATGCAAATTAAAACCACAATGAGATATCACTACAATCTCACTAGAATGAGCAAAAATAAAAGTTAAAGCATGGGTGAGGATGTAGAGAAATTGGAATTCTCATACACTGCTGGTGAGAATATAAAATGGTACAATCTCTTTGGAAAACAGTTTGAAAGTTTCTTAAAAAGCTATACATCTACCTGTCATATGACCCAGTCATTCCACTTCAAGGTATTTTTACTGTAAGGGAAATGAAAGCATATGTGCGTACAACGACTTATGTACAAATGTTCATAGCAACTTTACCTTTAATAGCCCAAAAGTGGAAATAACAGCAATGCCCAATAATGAGTGGATAGACAAACTGTGGTGTATCCATACAATGGAATGCTACTCAGCAATAAAAAGAAATAGATGTTTAATACAGCAGCAACATGGATGAATCTCAAAATAATTATGCTGAGTGAAAGAAGCTTGACAAAAAGAATACATGCTGAATTATTCCATTTACATGTGCAGTCGAATGCAAACTAAGCTATTGTGACAAGAAACAGGTCACCAGTTCCCTGGGGATGGGAAGGAGTGAAAGGGAAGGGTTACAAGAGGGTACGATGTAGGAAACTTCCAGAGGGAATACATTTGTTCATTTTCGTGACTGTGGTGATAATTTCATGGTTATATACACGTTATCAACTGAATTCTTCAAATGTATGCAGTTTATTGTACATTACTTATACATTTTAAAAAGCTGTCAAAATTTAATTTTAAAAGTTGGGAAGGGCAAAACCATTGTTATGTCCCACCTTTAAATTCTCTTTGACCACAATGTATCTTGGTAGGATTTAAGACAGAGTAAAGAGAATGTGACACTTACTTGAGGAAGTTTGTCTCCCTTTGAATTCTCATGATCTCTGTGCGTGTTAAACTCTTTTGGCCAGTTATATGTGCAAAACCAGGGGACTAAAATTAAGAATATAGATATATAGAGACATACACAGTCAATATAACATGGTAAAGGCTATGATATAGTAAAATTCTATGAAAAATTAATTTTAATGTTTGTTGTATAATATCCAGCATTCATCTTTTTAAAACCATGATGGGGAAAGTCATAAGTAATTATTACTCTAGTATCCAACATTAAAAAATTACATAAGTGCTATTCATAATCATTAAAAACAAGAGTTTGCAATAAAAGATGTCTGAACTCACTATCCTACAGACCAGATTTTAGAATTTAAAAATGTAATTTAGCATCTGTTTTTCTCAAAGATTATATCTCTAGGAAACTTAAAAGGATCCACCCGTAAGAACATGTGTAGCAACTCCCTGCTATTATATTATCCAGAAACATTTAACTCACTTCAATACATTTTTATTTGAGCTTCCACTTTGTACCAGGCACTGTGCTTGATGCACGGAAAAGGACAAAGATAAATATTACATGGTCCCTGCCCTAAAGGTGCTGAACTAGTGTACATACAAAACAACTGAAACAGTGTTATATCATCAAGGTCAAGGATTCAGATCCCCATACCAGCCAGCCACCAAAAAATAAATAAATAAATAAATAAAACACTATGGGTTCAGTACGGTAACACATTTGTGTTGAGTTCTGATAGAGTTTGGATGTGGTGCTTTCCAAAACTCATGTCAAAATCTGATCCCCAACTTGACAATGTTGGGAGAGGTTTGGGTTACGGGGGTGTATCTCTCTTGAATAGATTAATGCCCTAGGGGAGAAGGGTAGTGAGTGAGTTCTCACTCTATTCCTGCAAGAGCTGGTTGTTTAAAGGACCCTGGCACCTCCCCCCTCTCTTTCTCTTGCTTCCTCTCTCCATGTGACCTGCTTGTACCCCTGCACTGGACTGCCGTTTTCTGCCTCGAGTAGTACAAGCAGCCTGAGGCCCATGCCAGATGCAGGTGTCCCAGAATCGTAAGCCAAATAAACCTCTCTTCTTATAAATTACCCAGGTGCAGTTATTCTGTTATAAGCAACAAAAAATGAACCAATACAAGTCCCATGGGAATCTAGAGGAGGGAATAATCACATTCACTAGTTCCAGGGGAGAAGGGTTTCTCAGAGGTGGTAACATCTGAGATGGGCCTGGGACAGAAGGACAAAGGGAATTCCAAGTAGAGGAAACCCACTGGCAAAGGCACAGTGGCGGGGCAGCTCATGGCCTATCCTGGGACCCAGGGGGCTTGATGCTGTCTACAGGTCCAAGGGGCAGGAGAACGGATAGAAAGAAAGGCTGGTGAAGGAATGTGAAGGGGAGAAAATAACACTTACAGGCAGGTCTGATAGCAGTAAAATTGCTTGGCATTTTGTAGCCATTATCTCCTTGACATTTTAAAACGACCCTATGAGGTGGGTTATATTATCCCCATTTTACTTTATTTTTGTAACACTTTATTTTTTTTTCCTTTTTTTTTTTTTTGTCTTTTTTCGTGACTGGCAACGGATCGCAACCCTCAGTGTCACACCCGTACCGGACCAGGACCGGCAACGGGATCACAGCCCTCTGTGTTGCACCCGTACATCACTCAGCCAGTGAGCGGCTAGTCTGTATGTGGGATCCGAACCCTTGGCGGGAGCGCCGCTGCGCTCCCAAGCGGCGCACTGTAGCAGTGTGCCACCGGGCCGGCCCATGTAATACTTTATTTTGACATAATTTCTTTTCTTTCTTTTTTTTTCCTTTTTGTCTTTTTTCGTGACCGGTAACAGGATCGCAACCCTCGGTGTCACGCCCACACCGCGCTCAACCAGTGAGCGGACCGGTCTCTATATGGGATCTGAACCCGCGGTGGGAGCGCCGCCGCACTCTACCGAGTGCGCCACCGGGCTGGCCCGACATAATTTCAAATGTACAGAAAAGTTGCAAAGATAATACAAATAACTCCTGTACACCCAGCTTGACCAATTGTTTATGTTAACGTTCAGTCTCATTTGCCTTCATTCTCTCTCTGAATCAAGTGAGAATAAGCTGCATTCACGACATCCCTTTGCCCCTGAATAATTGAGTGTGCATGTCCTAAGAACAAGGATATCCTTATTCAACAGTGTATCAAAATCAGAAAATGTAACAGTGATCCAATATTATTATCTAACCCACAGATCTTTATTTAGACTTCGTCAGCTGTACCAACAATGTCCTTTACAGCTATAATTTTTTTCCCAGTCTAGGATACAGTCCATATCATACTTTGCATTTAATTGTCATGTCCCTTTTGTTACCTCTAATCTGGAGTAGTTCTTCAGTCTTTATTTTTCATAATCTTTTTTTTTTTTTTTTTTTTATAAAGATGACCGGTAAGGGGATCTCAACCCTTGGCTTGGTGTTGTCAGCACCACGCTCAGCCAGTGAGCAAACCAGCCATCCCTATATAGGATCCGAACCCGCGGCCTTGGTGTTATCAGCACCGCACTCTACCGAGTGAGCCATGGGCCGGCCCTATTTTTCATAATCTTGACATTTTTGAAGAGTAACAGGCCAGTTAATTCATAAAATTTCCTTCAATTTGGTTTTATCCTATGTTTCCTCATGATTGGATTGAGTTGTGCATTTTGGTACAAATTCCAGAGAAATAATATTGTGTCCATCTCAGTGTATCATATCAAGATGCATATATAATACCCATGTTTGAGATGAGGATGCTACAGCTCAGAGAAGTTTGAGTCACTTGCTTGAGTTCACATTAAAAGCACATGACCCGAACTCAGGCCTACCTGACCCAGTAGATTCTTTGTCTACCACAATGCCTGTATGCTGAGCTTAGGACTTAGGACTTCACTCTGTAGGAAATGGGGAGCACTCAGAGGTTTTTCATCACTTTTGTGTCTCATCTAATGTGGCCTAGACCAGAAGTTGCAAAGTGGTAGTCTATTGGCCAAATCTGGCCTGCCATTGAGCTTCATTTGGCCCATATATACTGTTCTTCCTCCATAGCCAATCTCTATCCCCCGGGCTCTCAAACTTGAGTGTACATCAGAAGGAAAGCTAAATAACATGCAGATTACTGGACCCACGACCAGAGTCTCTGATTCAATAGGTGTAGTGTGGGGCCCGAGAACGTGTGTTTCCAATAAGTTTCCACATGATGCTGATGCTATGGGTCTAAGAACCACACGTTGAGAGCCTCTGTTCTATCTCATTATCCAGATTATCTTTTTCATGACACTTACATGGTTTTTAAATTTTTATTTGATTTTTACTTATTATCTGTCTGCCCCCAACTCCAGTGAAATGTAAGTCCCCTGAATACAGGGACTTTGCTTGTCCAACACAATATGCCCAGCACTGGAACTGTGCCTGGCACATGGTCAAAAGACTGGGAGACACTGCCTTAAAGTATTTCATGGAAAGCATTAAAAATATGGGAAGTATTTCAGTGCCCTAAAGATTTTCCTTAGAAGTTACCTGAGACTGGCGGGTAGGTGGTCTAGAACTTGTTCCTTCACGGTAAGCTGGAATTTCCAGTGGACTCTCTGAGAAGCGAAGGTCTTTCAAAGTTTTAGGGTCAGTTCTTTCACCTACATCAAGGTCTACAATATTAAAAACATTGTTCTGTGAGGATCTGTAATTATATACAATCATGCAAAGATGTCTTGACAGTTGGAAACCTTTTAATAAGGGGCCACTGTCATCACATTTTTTCCCTAGAAGTAACAATTATATAGAGACCCCACTTGTTGAATTAGAACTGAGAAAAAAAATAAGCCTAGACTGAGCAAATAATCTTCTCTGCTACATTCTACAACATTCCACATCAGGCTGGGAAAACAGATAGATCAACCCAATGGCAAGGTTAATTAGCAGGAAACATAGTTCTCCCAAGGACACACTGCAGGGGTCAAATGTCATATCAGCCCTCTCTTTGAGTGTCTACTGCTTTTTACTCACTGGGAAACCTTGTTCTCTAAAACCATAGATTATCAGAAACTTTGCTGTTTGATATTAGGTTAGTAAGAATGGAACATCCAACTATTGCCTGGAGGATCTAAGTCATTTTGACATAGAGAAGCAGCCTCAATTTCCAACCCTGGGGCAGAGCTTCAGATATGGTTTTTTTAAATTTTTTATTTATTTTTATTTTTATTTTTATTTTTTTTCCTTTTTGTCTTTTTTCGTGTCCGGCAACGGATCGCAACCCTCAGTGTCGCGCCCGGACCGGACCGGACCGGCAAGGGGATCTCAACCCTCGGTGTCGCGCCCGCACCTCGCTCAGCCAGTGAGCGGGAACCGGTCTGTATGTGGGATCCGAACCCTCGGCGGGAGCGCCACTGCGCTCCCAAGCGGCGCACTGTAGCAGTGCGCCACCGGGCCGGCCCTGATATGGGTTTTTGAACACAACATCTCACATGTTATCTTTGTAGTTGTTTATGTCATAGAACTCTGGGTCCCCTCCGCAGTGCACACTTGATGTTGACCCCTTCAAACACAGCTCAGCTCTGCTTGAGCCTATCGAAACTCTGCTTTCATTTAAATTCCACCCAAACTCCACCCTTCCTCTAAACCCTACAATTCCATATTTTCCTTTGTTTACTGAGACACCCCATGGTTCCCCAGTGTGTGGTCTCAACTTGTCACAATGTGTCAATAAATCTGACTTTGCTGGACCACTTGGTAATCCCTCATGGTCTTAAGCTATTAATTAGGACATTAAAATTCAAATTACCGCCTAGTTTCCTGTTCCAGGATTTCTTTTTCCAACACTTTTGCAGACAAGAAAATATGCAGTGAACCTGTTTTGTAGATTTAGAATACTAAACCCTAAATTTGATCACATCTTACCTGGAAACTTTCTAAGGTTAACATTCCAACTAGGTTTATTTTCAGCTTTTTTATATTTCTTCCTTGGTTTCAATCCAACAAATCCATTTTTTAATTCCTAGGAATAAAGAGATTGCATATCAATCATTTGATTGTGCCCATTTGGAATGTGAAAATTAAGTTACATAACAGAGATGGCATGCATGTCTTACTCAAAAGTGTTTACAGTAGTTTTTACAATGTGATCCCTGTTTCACTTTACTTTGGAAACACCTAGATTTGTATCTGGGCTACTTGGTTAGCAGCATGTTTGGCTGGTAGGCCCCACCAGATCAAGTAGCCAAGACAGGAGGCAGCACATGTAGGCAGGATGTCACAATCAGAGGAGTCTCAGTAATAACAGAGGGACCACCAGATCCAGGGAACAAAGAGAGGGTGGGGTCAGACCAAGATAGAACTTATATACATGACCTGCCCACATACAGTTCTTAAATACTCTTCTCTCTGGACTTTCTTCTCCATGGACTTCATCTCTTACACCTGAGTAAAGCCTGAGCACCTGCTGACACTCACAGCCTCAGCCTCTGCTAGCTGCCTCAGCCCAGTACAGATCCTTGCTTTGATCACACTTGAGCCCCACCCCATGCCTGCATCCACTGCTTTGGTCCCACAGCTTCCTTTCTGGCCTCAGGGCCATGGCTGGGCTTAAAGGACACCCCCACAAATTTCCTCTGTTGCTCCCAACAAGACCCGCATGACTGAGACCTCTTGGTTGGTTACCTTACCACAGGCTAGCCCATCCTTTGGCCCTGCTCCTTGAATCTATCTCACTGATGCGCACAAACCAGGGAATGAAGATTCTAACATCCTTCTTAGATAGGACTAGTTGAGTCTCCAAAGAGGTGAGACTTGGCAGATATTTTGGGATGATGACTTCAACATAATAGAAGTCTATGCCCTCTAAGGGCTTTTACTAGCCTAATGCATCTATTCAACATACATACACTCATCACCTTTTCCTGCCTGCCTCTGTGAAGGCAATGTGTATGGCAGCCATGCCCTCTGCAACCTTGGAGCTTACAGCAAGACAGAGAAGGAACAATGCAATCACACATTCAAAGCATTTTATAAAAGGGAAGGGCATGGGAGCTAGGGCAGCAGTGATAGAGCACAGCACACACAGTTTAGTTTGGCTGGAGTATATGTAGCGGGGGTCACAGACAAAGCAACAGAAGCTGACCAAGGACAGAAACTGATTACTTGGATGGCAAGCTGAAGATTTCTGCATTCTGCAGTAGGTAAGAGAGAATCACTAAAGACATTAGAGCATGGGCAGGCATGCTGAGTAGGAATTCCAATCTTCAGCACAGAGGAGGGACTGACAAAGGCTTGGAAATCAGTGAAGATGCTTTGCAGTGGTTGATAATGACTTCAATTATAAGGACCTGACTGTGAGTAGAGGTGATGTAATGAAAGGGAACAGTGTCCACTGAGAAGGAGTCAAGAATATAGTGACATTCTGAATGTATTATAGTTTCATTACTTGCCTGCTTTGAAGAAACTTTGAGAACATTTTCAACATTGTCTTCAGAAGAGACTGTATTTGGTGGTTCGTAGTCTACCTGAAACACCTTTGTTACAATCCCACTCTGTCTACTGTCTCTGAAAATTATTTTAAAAAAGAAATAGTCTGTTACACAAAGAATAAAAGGTGACTAGCAGTTAAGATGACTCTATTGAAGTCCGTTAGTCTAGGTACAAAATTTATTATATTTTAAATTGGAGAAATCAAAATATAATTTCTATAATCTTTCCTTATCTCATTCACATTTGGGTTATCTACTGCCATGCACCAAACCACCCCAAAATGTAATGCCTTAAAACACAAATGTGTAGCTTAACTGTGCTCAACTGGGCAGCTCTCCTGTGAGCTCTTTCCTGTGCTTGCAGTCAAATGTCAGCAGGGGCTGGAGTCAACTGTGGGCTCAACTGGGCTGATGTCCAAAATGGCTTCTTCCCTCATATATGCAGAACCTGGGGTGGGATAACTGGAACAGCTGGGGGCTTGCCAGTCATCTCTGTCACTCTTTCAGACTCTGTCTCTCTCTCTGTCCCTCCCCACACTGAGTGGAAGGAACCTGGTTCTCATCCACTGGTTTTACCCCTTTAAGGTACAGGTTGTCTACCCCTGGCCATTTCCTTGGGCATTCAGCCAGGGCATTCACCCACAGACTCTATCCCAGAGAAGATCAGCCCAACACTCACTTAAACTGCCTGCTAAATAGAAGAATTTAACCCCTATAATAATCCCAAAAAAGGATAAGTTTTGGGATTGGAATTATAAATCCTACTCAGAGCCCAAACCACATTTGAAACACATATAAACTTTTGTTAAGGCTGGAGTTAGAGACCTTAAATATGTATCTTTAGGAACACCAATATAAAGTACAGCTGACATTTAAAATATTATGTGTAGGCCGGGCCCACATGCCACAAGATAGCCATGTTGGAACAGGCAGGTGCTGTAGGAAGCCCAGCCCAGGCCTGTGCCCGCCACCCTGAGAGACCTGAGAGTGGCCAGGCCCACACGCCCCAAGTCAGCCATGCCAGAACATGCTGTGGGACCCCCAGCCCAGGCTAGTCCCCACTGCCCAGAATTGGCAGTCCCTTCAGGATCCAGGCCAGACATCAAAGTGGAACGAGTGGACCATGATACCCCCTGCCACAATGACTAAACACCAAAGGAAAAATGCAAGAAATATCAAAAATCAAGAAAATACATCACCACCAAAGGAAAATAATAACTCTCAAGCTCTAGATCCTATACATCAGGAAGTCCTTGAAATGACTGACATGGAATTTTGAGCAACAATTCTAAGGAAAGTAAATGAGATACAAGAAAACTAACTTAGAAAACACAGTGAAATGAGAAAAAATATACAGGACCTAAAAGAAGAAATGTATAAAGAAATCAATGCCCTGAAAAAGAAGAGCTTGTGGAGCTGAAGGATTCATTCAACAAAATAAAAAACACAAGACAGTCTAACCAGCAGACTAGAACAAGCAGAAGAGAGAATTTCTGACCTTGAATACAGGCTGTTTCAATTAACCCAGACAGGCCAGAAAAAAAGAAAAAAGAATTTAAAAAACTGAAGAAAATCCATGAGAGATAAAAGACAACCTTAAGGGCTCAAATACCCAAATTATGGGTATTCCAGAAGGGGAGGAAAAAGGAAATGACATTGAAAACATATTCAATGAAATAATAGCAGAAAACTTCCCAGGTATAGGGAAAGTAACAGATCTTCAGAATCAGGAAGCTCAAAGATCCCCAAACATATTCAACCCAAAAAGGTCCTCTACAAGACATGTTATAGTCGAACTGGTAAAACTCAAAGACAAAGAGAGAATCTTAAAAGCTGCAAGAGAGAAGCAGCAAGTCACCTATAAGGAAGCCCCAATCAGACTAACATCAGACTTGATGGAAACCCTAAAAGCCAGAAAAGAATGGGATGATATATTCAAAATATTAAAGGACAAAAATTGCCCGGCCAGAATTCCTTTCCCAGCCAGACTATCCTTCTGAAATGAAGGACAAATAGTATATTTCTCAAACAAAAACTGCAGGAGTTCACTCCCACATGACCAGCCTTATAAGAAATTCTCAAGAGAGGGCCGGCCCGGTGGCGCACTGCTACAGTGCGCCGCTTGGGAGCGCGGCGGCACTCCCGCCGAGGGTTCGGATCCCACATACAGACCGGTTCCCGCTCACTGGCTGAGCGAGGTGTGGGTGCAACACTGAGGGCTGCGATCCCGTTGCCGGTCCCAGTCCGGTTCTCAAGGGAGTACTGGGTTTGATACCTGAAAAACAACCGTCACTTCCATGAATACTCAAGAAAGAACAAAACCTACCAGTAAAACAAAAATGCTAACAATAAAGAGAAAAAATAGTTTATCTACCACCCCAAGAAACCAACAGACACAGAAGACAAACAGAAATTTATTTCATTAAATGCTTACTTCAGAAGAATGGAAAGATGTCAAATAAACAACCTAACCCTTCACCTTAAAGAACTAGAAAAACAAGAACAATCCAAACCCAAAGTTAGTAGACAGAAAGAAATAATTAAGATCAGAGCAGAACTAAATGAAATAGAAACCTGAAAAATGACACAAAAGATCAATGAAACAAAAAGTTGGTATTTTGAAAAGATAAATTGAAAAACCTTTAGCAAGGCTAACTAAGAAGAGAGAAGACCCAAATAACAGAAATTAGAAATGAAAAAGGTGATATTACAACTGATACCTCAGAAATACAAGGAATCATTAGAGACTACTATACACAACTATTTGCCAACAAATTTGAAAATCTGGAGGAAATGGATAAATTTCTGGACACATACAAACTACAAAAACTAAGCCAAGAAGAAATAGAAAATCTGAAGACCAATAACAATAAAAGAGATTGAAGCTGTTATCAGAAAACTCCCAAAAAAGAAAAGCCCAGGACTGGACAGGTTCACTGCAGAGTTCTACCAAACCTTCAAAGAGGAATTGATACCAATTCTCTACAAACTATTCCAAAAGATTGAAACAGAGGCCATTCTCCCAAACTCATTCTATGAGGCAAATATCACCCTGATACCAAAACCAGACAAAGTTACATCAAAAATAGAAAACTACAGGCCAATATCCTTCATGAATATGGACACAAAAATCCTCAATAAAATACTACCTAACAGAATACAGAAACATATAAACAAAATCATGCACCATGATCAAGTGGGAGTATTCCCAGGGATGCAAGGTTGGTTCAACATATGCAAATCAATAATTGTGATATATCACATCAATAAAAGCAAAAACAAAAACCATATGATCATCTCTATAGACACTGAAAAAGCAATTGACAAAACTCAACATTCATTCATGATAAAGACTCTCTACAGGGGCCAGCCATGGCTCACTTGGGAGAGTTTGATGCTGATAACACCAAAGCCACGGGTTCGGATCCCTATATAGGGATGGCCGGTTTGCTCACTTGGGAGAGCATGGTGCTGACAACACCAAGTCAAGGGTTAAGATCCCCTTACCAGTCATCTTTAAAAAAAAAAAAAAAAAAAAAAAAAAAGGACTCTTTACAAATTTGGTATAGATGGAAAGTATCTCAACACAAGTAAAGCCATGTATGATAAGGCCACTGCCAATATCATCCTTAAGAACAGGAACTAGATAAGGATGCCCACTCTCACCACTCCTATTCAAAATAGTGTTGGAAGTATTAGCCAAAGCAATCAGAGAAGAGAAGGAAATAAAGGGCATTGAGATTGGAAAAAAAAGTCAAACTGTCCCTGTTTGCAGACGATATGATCCTATATACTGAACAGCCTAAAACTTCTACAAAAAAACTCTTGGAGTTGATAAATGATTTCAGCAAACTTGCAGGATACAAAATCAACACACAAAAATCAGTAGCATTTCTATACTCCAACAGTGAACATGCAGAAAAAGAAATCAAGAAAACTAGTGCATTTACAAAAGCCACCAAAAAAAATTAAAAACTTAGGAATAAAGTTAACCAAGGATGTGAGAAATCTCTACAATGAGAACTACAAACCACTGTTGAGAGAAATTAAAGAGGACACAAGAAGATGGAAAGATATCCCATGCTCTTGGATCAGAAGAATTAACATTGTGAAAATGTCCATATTACCCAAAGTGATCTACAGATTCAATGTAATCCCCACCAAAATTTCAATGACATTTATCTCAGAAATAGAATAAACTATCCAGACATTTATATGGAATAACAAAAGACCACACATAGCCAACAATCCTGATTAAAAAAAATGAAGCTAAAGGCATAACACTACCTGACTTCAAACTATACTACAAAGCTATAATAACCAAAACAGCATGGTACCAGCATAAAATCAGACACATGGATCAATGGAATAGAATAGAGAACCCAGAAATCAACCCATACACCTACAGCCATCTGATCTTTGACCAAAGGCACCAAGTCTACACACTGGGGAAGAGACTGCCTCTTCAGCAAATAGTGCTGGGGAAAAATGGATATTCTTATGTAGGAGAATGGAACTAGACCCATACTTCTCACAATATAACAAAATCAACTCAAAATGGATTAAAGAATTAAATATACATCCTTATAGACAATAAAACTCCTTAAAGAAAACATAGGGGATACACTTCAGGAAGTAGGACTGGACACAGACTTCATGAATAAGATCCCCAAAGCAAAGGCAACCAAAGGAAAAATAAACAAATGAGATTATATCAAACTAAAAAACTTCTGCACAGCAAAAGCAACAATCAACAGAGTGAAAAGACAACCAACAGAGTGGGAGAAAATATTTGCAAAACATATATCTGACAAAGGATTAATATTCAGAATATACAAGGAACTAAAACAACTTCATAGCAAAAAAACAAATAACCCAATTAAAAAATGGGCAAAGGAGCTGAATAGGCATTTCTCAAAGGAAGATATATGAATGGCCAACAGACAGATGAAAAAAGTGCAAATCAAAACCACTTTGAGATACCATCTCACTCCAGCTAGGACGTATAATATCCAAAAGACTGAAAATGATAAATGCTGGCGAGGTTGCAGAGAAAAAGGAACTTTCATACACTGT